CAGAACAGGCAGACTGATGAAGTCCACTGCTGAGGGGAGCAGCGGGCGGCAGGAGAGGTCTGCACGCCAAGTGGGACCCTCGCCAGGTGGCCAGGGATTGAACCGGCGCTGCAGAGGCTGCGGGCAGCTTCGCATCCCAGCGCTCAACCGCTGCGCCACCAGGGAGGCCCTAATTCATTTACTTTTTTCAAAATGATCCAAGATCCTTTTAAGCAGGTGACATTTTCTATTTTCTAAACATCTGAAATATTTGTATTCTTAAATAAGATAGAGATTAATGTACTTTCCATACATCTTTAATGTGAAAGATTATTACACACCCAAGCTTATTTCTCAGTAACTGAAAAAGAGATCCACAATAAGGTACTATCCAACCATATCTGGGCTGAGGGAAATGGACTACTTAAAACCCAAATTACACAGATTTTGGGATTTAACTATTTACATCAATAAAATGTTGTTTCTACTGTTGGCAATGGATATGGAAACATACAGCAGATTATTAACAGGTAATTGGATTTTATATGAGTAGAGATGTATTTATTTTTAAGTATTCTGAATGCTTCCATTTTCATCTCATTTAACTGCATAAATCATACACAAATTCCAAATATGCACCTATGCATTTTGAAGCAGGTACATGAAGACAAAGTAAAAGCAAAATTGTTTTGCTATGTCCCAATCTTCATCAAACTCCTTCATATTCCCAAATACTGTCATGTGAGATAAAAAAGAGGAACAGAAACACACAAACAAATAATAACAACAATCCCTGTTTATGGATCAGAAGAATTGACATTGTTAAAATGGCCCCATTACCAAAAGCAATATCCAGATTCAATGCAATCACTCTCAAAGTTTCAAAAGCTTCTTCAGAGAAATAGAAAAAAACATAAGTGATTTATATGGAACCACAAATGACCCTCAATAGCCAATGCAATCTGACAAAAATAAAACAAAGAAGTATCACATGCCCATATTTCAACCAATACTACAAAGCTATGGTAATCAAAACAGTGTGACATTGCAATAAAAATAGATATGCAGCCAAATACAACAGAAGTAAGAGCCCAAAAATAAACCCACCCTTATAAGAATAGTTACATTCATGACAAAGTAGCCAAGAGTGTACACATAAGAGAAATGAAATTTATCTACAACAAATGGTGCTGGTAATTGGTTAGTTCACATACAAAAGAATGAAAGTATACCACTATCTTATACCATAGGCAGCAAATAACTTAAAATGGATCAAACACTTTGTTGTAAGACCTGAAACCATAAAATATACAGAGGAAAAGATAGGGAAAATACTCTACAACCCCATAGGTTTTATTAATGTCTGAGGATTCCACTCAAACAGCCAGGGGAGCAGAAGAAAAAATAAACAATTGGGACTACATAAAACTAAAATGTTTCTCCTTTATTATTATTATTATTATTATTATTATTATTATTATTATTATTTTTGGAGAAGAACTGGGATGTAGGCAGAGGTATGTGTGTATGTTGGTGGGGTGGGGGGCAGTTATAGTATTCACAGGAGACAGAGGGGGAAGCAGAACAGTCAGACCTACTGAAATACACTGCTGAGGGGAGCAGCAGGAGAGACAAGAGAGGTCTGCTGTGCCATAAGTGGGTTGGCTCCCTGGCTGGGGATTGAACTCAGGCCATAGTGGTGATAGCACTGAGATTTATCCCTAGGGCACTGGGGTGGCCCAAAAATTAAAATGTTCAGCAAAAGAAAACTATTGTTAACACAAAAAGACACTACACAGAATGGGGGAAAATATTTATATATCATATATCTGACAAGGGGCTAATACTAAGTTCTACATTGAACACATATAATTCAACAACAACAAACACAACACCTAAAGGGGAGATCCAGTACCTCTAGACACAACAATTATGTAAACCAATATTACCTCAGTAAAAATATAAATAAGTAATAATTACATAAAACACAAAAGAGAATGAATTGAATAAATATATGAAAATGGGCAAAAGATAAATAATTAAAAACAGACAACTCTTTACAAAGACAGACAAAATGGCCAACTGGCTCATGAAAAACTGCTTATCATCACTTATCAGGAAAATGTAAACAAAAATCACAGTGATATACCATCTCACACCTGTGAGTATGGCCCAGAAATGACTTGTGTTGGCAAGGATCTGGAGAAAAAAGAACACTCATACACTTTTGCCAGGAATGTGGACAGGCCTAACCCCTACAGAAAAGGGTACAGAGAATGCTCAAAAAATAAATAAATAAATAAATAAATAAAAACAGATCTATCTACTATAATATCCAGTAAGTACCCTTAAAGGTATATACCTAAAGGATGCAAAAACACTAATTTGAATGGCTAGATCACTCTAATATTCATTGCCGTACTGTTTACAATTGTCAGGCAATGGAAACAATCTGTGTAATGACAGATGAGTGGATAAGGAAAATGGGGCATATAAACACAATGGAATACTACCCAGCTATTACACAAAACCAAACCTGAACTCTTACCATTTGTGACGACATGAATAGAACTGGAAGGAATTATGCTAAACAAAATAAATCAGACAGAGAATGATAAATACCAGATAGTGTCACCTATACAGAGAAACAAAACAAAGTGTCAGATAAAACCAAATCAGAAACAAGCCCAAGATACCTGAATGTAAAGCTGAGAATACCAGAGGGGCAAGGGGAAGTCGCAGACCAAAAACAGAAAGAAGGGTGCACAACAGACCGTGGTGGAGGACCATGGGTATCTTGGTGCTATGGTGGTTTGGTAACATACACCTGAACAGGTGTGAACCTGTACCTTTGAGTCATTTCTAGTATTGTAAACCAATGTTACTTCAATAAAAAACAAAAAGAAGCAAACTGAGAGGAGGAACAGATAGAACTGAAATATAAGTGTGAATTCATTTAGCGAATTAACACAGTGTTAAATGCAATACAATTGAGAAAGTTGAAATTTTAAGCATTTGTCTTAAAATTCTCTCAGCAAAAATTTCTCATGGGATAAAGTCATGAAAAACAATTTTTTAGTAATTTAACTTGATTTTCACAAGTTCCTCACACAGTTAAATGCAGAAAATAATTAAATTCATCTTATTAAAATTTAAACAGAAATATAAATCAAAAGGAAACTTTTAATATCACTTACATATTTTTTAATTTTCCCTACCATCATCCCTTATATTACCTTGTGTCTCTCTCCCCCTTCCCTCCCTCTTAATGTGAGATTCACTTTATCAGTGTCCCATAGTTTTTATAAATAATATTGTTGAATTGTCTGATATACAAATGTCCAATATTTGTCTCCGTCATTTTGACCTGTTTTACTTGTAGTAAAACAAGATATATTCAGGTATCTTGGGCTTGTTTCTGATTTGGTTTTATCTGATGCTTTGCTTTGTTTCTCTGTATAAGTGACACTTACTACTTTGCAGTGAGTGGAATATTTCATCATTCCTTATGGTTGAATAATACTCTGCTGTTTGGATGTACCACATCTTCTTAATTCATTTCTCTACCAATGGACACTTAAACATGTTTCCATGTCTAAGCTATTATAAATAATGCTGCAATAAACATTGCAGAACACATGCTTTTTGAGTTAATGGTCTTATTTTCTTTGGAGTGAGATTGCAAGGTCATGCATTATTTTCATTTTCAGCTGTTTAAGCTAAAAGCAGATGACTTTCCATATTATTAAACTTGTTTACATTCCCACCAACATTGTAGTAGATCTCTCTTTCTTTGCACACTCTCCAGCACCTGTTATTGGATATCTTTTTAATATGTGCCATTCTCAGGATCTGAGTTTATATTCATTGTAGTCTTGACCTGTATAGCCTTTATTAAAAGTAACAATGAACTTTTTTTTCATATATCTTTTATGGCCTTCTGGATATCCTCTTTTATTAATTGGGTTGTTTGTTTTTTATTGCTAAATTGAGTAAGTTTTTTGTGTGTCTTGGACATTAATCCTTTGTTGATTGCTTAATGTGGAACATTTTCTCTGAGTCAGTAGGATATCTTTTTAATCTACTTATATTTGCTTTTGCTTATGCAAAAGCTTTTTAGTTTAATGTAATATCAATTTAGTTTTCCTTTTATTTCCTTTGCTATACAGGTCAAGTCTCCAAAAACATCTTTCTTTATCATTGATATTGTAAAATGTATCACCAGTGTTTTCTTAATGTGTTTTATTATTTCTGGAATCTTTTAAAAATCAAAATACTTTAAGGTAGCAGCAGTAGTAAATTAAAGCTAAATCAAAAGTGTTATTCTACAGAAATTCAAATGGTCTTAAATTCATATTTTAATAATCAATATTCAATTTTATTTAGAAATTAGATTTTCTCTGAATTAGCTGTTTATAAGTATATCAAAAAGTGAAATTTTAGAGTTGAAGTGGTATTAGAATTTCTGTATTTTAATAATGAAATCACTTTACAGTTGAAAACATTGAGCATTTGACCCTGTCATTCACATTAACTCCAAAAATCACATTCACAGATTATGGATCCATGGGTTCCATGTCAGAAATGTAGGTTTGAGTTCCCTTATTATGGAAAAGATTCCCCATCCAACTTTAAAACTTGGGCTTATTTTGAAGATGATTCAATACTTTCAAAGTTTTTCATGAAATAACTAAGTTCAGAAATACGTAACTTCTATCAATCTGATGATGTAAACAGTGACTGATTAAACCTACACTCCTTTCAGGTTGAAATATCTTACTGGTAAAAAGAGGGAAAAATCACAGTTGGAAACCTTCCCAGAAACTTCACTAGATGATAAAGTAAAAGAACAATCTTCTACAGACACTTAATGAAGACATGGTTCAGGGGTTTTTCTCTTCTAGAGATCACTTTGCTCACCAAGGAAAGGCATAAACAGTGAAATTTCTGCAGTTAATGCTTGCAATCAAAGCAGAATAGAAGAAAAAGTGAAAAACGTTATTGCTCATTAAATCACTTACAGTGGTTTTCCTTTGGATTCACAAGTCAAAATTAAAGGCTGTCCTTCTTGTGGAAAAGGAGTGGATGGTATAATCTTTACTGATGGTGTATCTAGAAAAAGATGAAAAGGAACATTAAGAAAGGATGTTAAACTCATATAAAGCTGTATATTTAATATCTGTACTTCATGCTGAATGATTAGGCTATTATAATTTTGTATACTTATGAGAGATTTCTTAGAGTATGTAATTTTAAGAAGCTACCATCCTATACATGAAAAGCTAACAAAAATATCTGAATATCTTATGAGCACCACTGTTGTACTGTTTTTGAAATGTGAATTTAAAAGTGAAATTGCAAAAAGTGGTTCAGATGAATATCAAGCATTTCATACAATTGTTTCTTCAACTATTTATAGATGGCTATGAATACTATTATTGCAGACTGAATGCATTTATGTGCATTTGAATAACACTTTTCATTGTTGCAGGAATACCAGGGATTCATAATAAGGAACCCACAAGGAAACTCAAGATCAACTACTGTCTCACAAATATTATGCAGAATCTCTTAAAATGCAGTTATGCAGCACATAGTACATTCTGCCTCCTCTAAAGTACAGTTAGCAAATGAATTGAAAGTCAATTAAAATATTACTCAAACTTAACATGTTGTTATATATATGTATACACACAATATAATTTTTACAAAATAATCTTTTCCATTTAATAAAATCATTCCTAGTGCAAGTGCATTCAGTGATAGTTATAGACATTTATAACTTTATGCCAGTGATATTCTTTACAAAGATATATATTACATAGAAAAAATGAAAAATCAGCTGAAGAAAGAAACGACATAAACACTCATTCCTTCATGAGACTTGCTATAGTCATGAAGAAACTGAGTTTTATCCCCCCATTACCAACAATAATCAAAATAGGCTCTAAATTCTCTAGTCACAATTATTCTCACCCTTCTCTTAGCTGTGATAGAATTGAAATACCTTGGAGTTATATGTACTCTCTGATTTTGAAACCAGTTAAATAATCACTTATTATTTATATAAATAACAAATTTATTATATTATAATATTTATCACATATATCCTAAGCCATATAATTATATTATATATCATATCATACATTATTTATTATTATATATTATATTTCCAAAACAAGTATTTTTCAGATGTATCATAGGACAATATGATCCTATGAAAGTATACAATATTTATAAACTTTACTTTCGAGTGCATTCTTTCTTAATACTTTATACAAGAATATATTCAAGATAATCAACAATAATATCTATTTACAAATAGGAATTCCTTATACATTGTGGTAAATAACTGCAGTGTAACATAATTCAAGAAAAAATATTATGTTGAAGAATCATGACATACACTCATCAAACTTTTTGAATTAGAAGAAAATATAAAAAAAGGCACTTTACTAATCATTTTATTACCATCATCACATTTATAGGATCAGTTATTTCTAGGATGATCATACAATTTTCTCTCAAGCAAATCATTTTTTAAAAGTGAAAGGAAACATTAATAATTATGCAAGGTAATAAGTATAAACCAAAATTATTCTGGGCAATTTTTCTTAATGTTTACCATATATACATATAGCAATATTTATTTCCATCTTGATATATAAAGAAAACTTTAATTATAGGAAAAAAAGGTGAAAAAAGATCAGAAAAGTCTGATTCTGGGAAAGAGAGCTATGTTAACGGGGGTATCTGTGAGGGTTGACTTTATGTGTCAACTTGATTATACAATGGGATGCACAGATATTTAGCCAAACATTATTCTGAGTGCTTCATTGAGAATGTTTTGGGAAAAGATTTAACATTCAAATCTGTAGACTGAACAAAGTAAATTACTCTCTCAAATGTGAGTGAGCGTAATCCGACAAGTTGAAGGTTTGAATAAAAAGAAAAAACTGGCCTTTTCCCACTTCGGAGTGAATGCACTCACCTAATGGCTTTTTACTTCAAATATCACCTTTTTTTTTGCGTATGAAGTAAAGTGAAAACATCTGCTCTTCCTGGGTCTTCGGTCTCCTGGACTTAGGCCAGAACTACCACATCACTTCAATTCCACTGTTTTCTCACGAAGGTACAGAACTAAATTATCAGTTTACCAACTCAGTTTATAGAAATTGGGAGTACCAGTCTCCATATTTTATGAACCAAATCTTTATAATAAACCTCTATATGTGTAAACCTCTATGTATAACAAATGGTCCCCTAGGCATAGTTCAGCAGTCCCTGAAGATCCAAAACATGGAATTTCAAATATAAGCAAAAGTTAAACAAAATAATATGCTTAGTATGTATTTTTTAAAAAGATTTATTTACTTATGCATACAAGAGCTGGTGTACAGGCCAGAGGTGTGTGTGGGGGGGGTGGGGGGAGGTGAGAGGATTCACCAGAGACAGAGTGGGAAACAGAACAGGCAGATTGACTGAAATACACCACTGAGGGGAGCACAGGTGAGTCAGGAGGTCTGCTGTGCCATGTGGGTTGCTCCCTGGCTGGGGATCGAACTCATGCCGCAGTGGTTGCGGATAGCTTCATAGGCTGTGTCCCAACCCTCTGCACCACTAGGGAGGCCAGCTTAGTATGTATTTTTATGAAACTTTCAGAAATGACACCAAATAAATTCTAAATTACCAAAACCAAGAAATACAATACTCCTTTATTTGACTTCAAAATTACTCACAGTGTTTTAGTCTCTATTGATTAGAAAATCTCCCTAGATTTTTTTTTATACATCTACTCCTCCCTTCCTTGGTGAATGCTTTTGATTCAACTCCTATCTCTGGCTATATTTTCACAGACTTTAGTGGGTTGTTTTCTTGTATTTAGCCTTTAAGTATTGAGATCTAATCTCACCCAGAGTGAGATTTAGAATCCATTCTCACATAATCTCTCTAGGTCCTTTCAGGCACACCCTTCTCTCAGTTTCCATCTACTCACCATCACGCCTAGATTTTTTTTAGATTTATTTATTTATGACACAAAAACTGGGGTGTAAGCCAGAGGTGTGGGGGGTGAGAGGATTCACTAGGGAGAGTGGGGGGCAGGACAGGCAGATCTACTGAAATACACTGCTGAGGGGAGCAGCGGGCAAGACAGGAGAGGGCTGCTGTGACATGTGGGTAGCCCCTAGCTGGCAAGGGATTGAACTCATCGTGCAGTGGCTGGCAATGGCTTGATAGCATTGTCTTTAATCCCTGCACCACTAGGAGGCCCACTCTTAGATTTTATCCTAGAGCCTTTCTGCACCGCAAACTACACTTATGTTAATTGCAGCCTTTATTTCACATGCCCACTTGGATGTCTAAAAGACAGGGCACATTCATCATGTTTAAAATCAACTCAAAGTCTCCAACCTTCCCCACACTTGTTCCTACTTCAGCATTCTCTAGCTCATAGATGCCACCAGCTTCTATCAGCTATGCATACCAGCACCTCCACTTACCAAGTCTGTTTGCTATACTACCTAAGTGATTTTCAGAGCTACTAATTTCTTTTAATAGTGTTATAACCACTTCTTTTACATAATTTACCATAATAGCATATTATCTCAATTGAGTCAATTTTTCCCCCTCCAAATCTTACTCCTAAAATTAAACAAAATTGTATTCTCAAAACATAACTCTGAACACATCAATTTTCTAGCTGAAATCTTGCAGAGTTAATCTTTGTTTTTAGGATTAAAAGTAAATTAATTAGTATAGACTTTAAGTCCAATATAACTGCACATTTCTTTACTTTTCTTGCTTTCTAACACTTTACTTTATTCATTGAATTCCTGGCAATTACACTTTCTTTCAGGTCCTTTAATGAATGCATTTCATCTTGCCTTTATACAAATTATCTGAAATCCACCATTCTGAGGGATCCTTTGCTTATTTACCCTTTTAAATCTTAACTCAAATGTCATTTGCTAATGGCAATCATTCATTAGCCTCAAATTTGCTCAGATACTTCCCACTGCATGTTCTCTTTTTCACCTTGTGTAATTTTTAAAAATTCACTGCTGTATCCCCAATGTCTTATATACTAGTTTATACAAAATCTGTACTAATAAATACATTTTTAGATAAACATATATGCTAAAAGTTTTGATCTATTTTCTTTTTTTTTAAGATTTTATTTTTTTATACAAGAATTGGGGTACAGGCCAGAGGCATGAGAGGGTGAGAGAATTCACCAGAGACAAAGCAGGGAGCAGAACAGGTAGACGACAAAAAACACTGCTGAGGGGAGCAGTGGGCGCAACAGGAGAGGTCTGCCGCGCCATGTGGGTATCTCCCTGGCAGGCCGGGAATCGAACCTGCGCTGCAGAGGCTGTGGACAGCTTCATAGCGCTGTGCTCAACCTGCTGTGCCACCAGGGAGGCCCTTGATCTATTTTCTTATACCAATTTGGTACATCAATTTTGAAATATTAAAAATGCTTAATGGACATTTTGTTAGTGCATGCTGAATGTAAAATTAATCCTAAATATTCATGTCACAAACTTTGGATTGAATTTTATTTTTAGTTCATATTTAATTTCATTAATATTTATTGCTTACACTCTTCCTTGTATAAATTGCATTAGATAACTTTCAATGAATGACTACAAAAATAGTGATTTGTTATTAACACAATACCATATAAACAAACAGCTTTTCTAACCTCATATGATCTTGACAGGTTAAACACTCAATCTTGAAGATAATTTTTAAAATATTTACCCAAAATTCTAGTTTCTGCTTCCATGAAATCACCATTCCTCTTGAAAGATGCCATATTGGCAATATGCACAAATTAAAGTTTTTAACCACATAAAATACTATTGGGTAATGTGATTCTTAGACATAAACATGCCATTATTATTCCTGTCTCATTTTCTTTTCTTTTTTTTTTTTTTAGATTTATTTATTTATGTATACAAGAACCGGGGTACATGCCAGATGCGCAGGAGGGTGAGAGGATTCACCAGAGACAGAGTGGGGGACAGAACAGGCAGATTGACTAATACACTGCTGAGGGGAGCAGTGGGGGAGACAGGAGAGGTCTGCTGTGCCACGTGGGTCACCTC